CGATCGCCTAGACTGGTCTTGATGGTATTGACCCTGCCCAGCAAGTTCTTGTACTGTGTCTCGAAGTGCTCCTTGCCCTCGTTGGCCTCATCCAACTCCTCCCTCAAGCTCCGCATCTCCTCCTCATGATTCGCGTGACTCTCGTCTGATGTCCCCGCGCTCTGCTTGTTCTGAACCTCCTCCAGACTCTTCCTCAGCTCCGTGACTTCCTGGCGTAGCGCATCGCGCTCCTTGGCTATCGCGTCTAGGCGTGCGCTGGCGTCTGAGGGAGGAGGCGGGGACGCGGAGATTCCTTGTTGCGAGCGTGAGCGTGCCAGTCCAAGCGCAATTGCGGACGAGATGCTGTGGTGTGGAGTACCGTTCGTCTGCAAGGTCGGCGACAGCGGCGGTTGGTCGTCGTCTACATCGTCGGCGTCTGGATCGGCTGAATGCGCGGCGGGCTTCTGCATTGACACCATTAGTACTCGTGGTTGTAGAGAGGGCTCTCGTGGACCGCATACAGCCTGCTCGGCCTCATCCTCGGCGTCTTCATCGTGATCCTCCGCGTCGCTTCTGGCGTGGTCCCCATTCACTTTGTCTGTGCCGTCCGCCTTGTTCGCAGCGGCGGCTTTCTTCTTATTCTTCTTTTTCTGCGACTTGGACAAAGTGCCTGTCGTCGCCTGTTAGCGTATAATTCTTCCGTGCTCCCACATGGGCCGCGACGTGACAGCGGAGTTTACTGGCACCTCCGAGGGCTGCAAGCTCACCTACCACTCTGCTGTATGGGGTCCGATGTGGTTGGCGCAGACATCTTGAAAGACGCGTAATGCAGTCGCTACCGCATCAAGAAGACTTGGTTTACGGGGAGAAGAGGCTCTGGGGGTTCTGGGGGAGCATTCGTGGATGTCTTGACTTGGCAATTCGTGTCCCGTTCTATGGTTTGTTTCGGCCCACGCGGTCCACGAGTGGCGTACGTCACTAGCCACATCTCACTATCGTCCCATCTTTAGACCGACGCATGCCCCTCGTAGTCATCAACACGCACTCGAAGACTTGTATACATCGTCTCGATAATAAAGGAGACAAATTCTTTGTGTGCACTGCTTCACGACTCGAGCCATCAGCGACAGCGCGCCAACCTTCGCGGGGTAGCCGAGCCCTCCGACATCTCCTGCACTCCAGCTCAAACAAGCCAAGACTAACCACGTAATCATTTCCATCCTTCAGAACATGAACTACTATCGGCCTCTGTTCTATTCGGCTATCACGATCATATATACCTCGTTCACACTTCGAGTCCTCAGACTAGGTCTTCTCCCAAGAATGATAAACCAGAAACGGGACACAAAGGCCTCGTAAGAGGGCGTATCAAGTGTTCGAGTGCTCCAAGCATCGACGTCTGGTTACGATGGGCTTCTTGCATGCGATACACATGAGTCCGTTCGCATTCCACCTGCTGGTGGATTGTGCGTACGCGTTCTTCGACTTATCCAGTTGAACCGGTTGGCCAACGGCTATGGAAGAGACATTTGTCCGTCACTCGAGGCTATCACCACCGCCATTGTCCCATTGCAGCTTGATCGATGTACTTTACGCCCTGTAACGGTTGGATACTGCAAGGCCTCCCACGGTATCACTGCGCCGTGGAATCCTACTGAGTTTGTAATCTGTTCTGGCCAATGGCAACGACCTATACCGGACACTTTTAGGAGCACGGTCGACCAAACCTCTAGAAAACTCCCCGAATTCAGTATATGAAGATGTAGATTTCTATGGACCATATTCTTACTATCATCTCTCCGCCTCGCACTGGCACATCACATACCAAAACCCCATAACAGCACTTCCATCTACATATTCAGTTCCAAACCATGACCGCCCCATCGAAGCCAAAGCAAGCGCTCGATCTCGAAGGTGCCCTCCTCCAAGAACTCCAAGGCGATGTCAGCGATTCCATTGCTCAGCAGCTCCTCGAGGAACTCCCACCATTCACTGCAACATCAGTCGTCCTTGATAACGGCTGCGGTCCCGGCGCAGTGACCATGGCGATAATGGGAAGTAACCCCCCAACAGGTCTCAAGATCCACGCCACAGACGTAAACCCCATGTTCCTCGCTCAGCGGAAAGCCAGTCTCACCGACAACCCCTCGTGGCCAGTCAAAGTCGAAACAATGGACGCTTGCAACCTCACCTTCGCAGACAATACCTTCGATTTCTCTTTCACCAACTTCGTCTTCGCAGGTCTTTTCGACGACGTCGGCGCCGCCTCGCATATCCTACGTACTTTGAAGCCAGGTGGCACAGGCGTTATTACTGGTTGGGCAGAAATGCCATGGCAAATTGCGCTTAAGAACGCGCACTACAAGACACGTGGTACGGAGGAGCCAATGGCGCCTTTTCTGAGCAAGAGTTGCTACCAGAAGGAAGAGATTGAGCGAGCCACCAGGGCGGCTGGGTGGAAGGATGTCAAATATGTGCAGAAGGAGGCGTATCTGAATCTTGGTACTGATCTTAGGCGATGGGCGTCTATTGCGTGGACCTTTTTGGGGACGCCTGTCGGTGGATGGCAGCAGCGCGATGAGAGGATGTGGGAGGAGGCGCTCGACTCTATCGTGGAAGAATTGCCTCGTAATGAGTGGTCCAAGGTTGAGGGTGGGGTGAATAAGATAAGGATGGTTGCTGATGTTGCGATTGCGAGGAAGTAGGGTTTGTGAGCAAGCGACTTGATGTGTATACTGTGTCACAATCTCGGTCTATTCGAGCAGCTACGATGTAAGAGCTTTTCTGCTTATCGGATCACGAAATTCAGACTAGATAGCTGTGGACTCCGATCGTCTATCAGATCCTGTCACTGCTTTAGGCATCAACAAGTCTATTCTTGACTAACCGTTCTACTTACCTTTGTTTTGCAAACATCGTGCTTCTGCTTGCCCTCTTGTTGTTACAATATCTATAACAGGTGGAGGGCAGAGACAGCCGATCGGTCACCGCCCGTCCAGGACGCTGTGTTGGTCAAAGCTTCCTTGAGAGCGTTTGCTCTTTTTCGCTCACCTCCAGGCGGCCATATATACTGAAGAGATAATCGCGCTAGCAAAACTTTTCAAGTTGTCTTGCCGGTAACAATCCGTCCTCTCATCTCCTCTCTTACCCGTCAACCGACTTCACCGCACTCCACTTACTTGAAATCCCCACATCTTGGTTCAACATGCGGGTGTTACTCCTCCTTCTCGTCGGTCTTTTTGCGACACTGACCTCCGCCTGCACGTTCCCTTTCAACGACAATCGTCTCACCAACAGCTCGTTAGTCGAGGACCGTGTCGCCGAACTACAAGCAAGCGGGCAGCTAGGCGGTGACGGAGGCAAGGGTTGGATGACCATCATCGGCGGCGGAGCCACGCCCAACAAGGCCGTCTGGCCTAACGACCCCAAGAACGTTAATCTGGTGTACATCCACTACTGCTTCGCAACACGTAGGGACTACCATGAGCTTCATCAGATCGGTACGTGACGCTGCTTGTTCCAGCTTGTATTGCCAGAGTTAAGATTACTGACTTTGCCTACGATAGTGAATGATGCAGCAGTTGCGTGGAAGAACAAGTTGGGCGCCCCATCTAAGAATCGACATCGATTTGATGGCTTTCGCCATTACTACGACAAAGCCAACAACATGCATCCGCGCTGCTTCATATATCAAACCAAACAATGGATGTGGAACCCACGAGTCCCCCAAGGTACCCTTGTGATCGAGTGGTCGACGGTGGGTCACAGTCGTGCGACAACAGGATACGCCGCTGAAAAATAGTAAGTCAACTAAATAAGTCGACATTTTTAATATCCGCCGCCAAATTACTAAAGACCTTTTTCTATGTTCAGCGACAACCGTCCTGGTCGCCACAGTCTCCAGATCGCCTACGATTCATCCGGATGGAACAATTGGGCCTGGGAAGTAGTCCACGAGATGGGACATGTTATTGGCTTAGAGCATGAGCATCAACGAGCTGATAGTGAGTCTTGTCTATGTGGAAATATCCCTACTTTAACTAATGGTTTCAGGGGACCAGTTTGTCAACTTCGACTGCACGAAGCTCATCGGTTACTGGGAGGCCAAGAAAAAGGTTGAGAGCGAGCCTCGGTGGAGGGGTTTCACGATCGACGAAGTGTGTAAGTCGCAATACCTGGGTACCACCAGGGACCTCAACTGGGGGGTACCTCATGAGTACTCGTTGGACATGGGCCAAAACGAGGACCGTCACGACTATGTTCCGACCAAGGGTTCCCAGTACGACCACGACTCCATCATGCAATACTATTCTGCTTCGGCCGCTGGATATCCAAACGGCGCCGTCCAAGATATGCCTCTTGTGCGCTGGAAGAACGGACGTCCTAGTGACGGCTCAGGACCTGATTCGTCGAACGCGCAGAGGATTCCACGTCCTACTAAGATCTCGGATCTAGACAAGGCTGCCATCCAGTTTCTGTACCCGTGAGAGGGGACTTCAGAAGGTTAGTACTTATTGCATCAGGATGGCGCGAGATTGACGTGCTTCTTCCTAACAAGTTGTTGTTGGTAGAGGCAGTTGTCCGCGCAGCGTTATACTACGGTCAGGTAGATGGCAAGACGTATCAACGTTCTTACAAATAGTCTCAAAAGATGATGGTTTACAATCCTTTCTGCATGTGCACATCTCCTGTGATGTCGGGGGTCGGGCGAAGGTCCCTGAAATCCTCTGACGTCGCCTGGACCCTGAGGCTAAAGTCGCCGGTTCCCCACATCGGGGCCGTTGCGGCAGGTACCACAATGACAGCACCACATCGCCGGAAACATCGTTCGGTATCCGAAAAAGAACCGTTACTACACACAGCAATACTAAGATGCAATTCGTGACGTTAAACCACAGGATCGAAGTTGCATCCAAACATAAACCTCGGTCACCCTAAACAGCATCAGTCTACCTTCGACACATCTTAATTACCAGATTACCCCCAACTCAACATCGAGAGCTCCAGACCATCTACTAGCTATGGCGGCTGTTTCGGTTGCACTTAATCTCGACTTATCGAGCCTCAACGTTAGCACTGGAAACGACGATACCAACGTTTCTAGCGACTTCTCCTACGGCTTTTCGCACGCGAACGGCACCAATGGTGACAATGCCAAACCCCTCCCAATCGTAGTCGCAGGAGGCGGTTGCGTCGGGCTGTTTCTAGCTCTCCTCCTCGCACAGTCCGACATGCCCAACAAGGTGGTCGTCATCGAACCGCAGCAACCAGATCCCATGTCGACGCGCGCAATGGCACATCAACCGCCGACATATCCCATCTTATCCAAAGTCGAAGGCTTACTACCGGAACTGGTGAAGACAGGAAGTCTGAGCTCAGGCCTATGTTTCCGAACGAGCATCCAAAACGGCAGCAAAGTGATTGCAGAAAAAACATTCGACAACTCAGGCGAAGGCATGAAAGGAAAGGGACAACTCCTACTACCACAAGGAAAATTCCAACAAATCCTCATGAAGCGCCTAGCCGCTCTGGGTGACGAAAAAGCAGAAGTACGCCTCGGAACCAGCGTCACCTCCTTCAAATCAACCCCCAGCAGCGTAACCGTGCAAATCACCCCCGAAGCCACCTCAACCCAACTCGGCGACGAAACGCTCGAAGCCGCCTACCTAATCGACGCATCCGGCGCCCACTCCACCATCCGCAAAGACCTCTCCATCACCCTCGAAGGCGAAACCCTCGACGCGCAACTCGTAGCCACAGACCTGCATTTCGACTTCCACGCCCACGGCTTCCACGACGCGAACTTCATCATGGATCCGCTGAACTACGGTCTCATCGGCCGTATCAACCACGCCGACGCCACCGCGGATGGGAAACCCGCTTTATGGCGCGTGAGTTACGGGGTCCCGATTGGGGTGTCTGAGGAGGAGATTATGAGGACGCTGGATGAGAAGTTGGGGGTTATGATGCCGAATGGAGGAAGGGATGGGCGGGGGGAGAAAGCGTATGAAGTTGTGAGGGTGGCGCCGTATAAAGCGCAGCAGAGGCTTGTTCCGTCGTTGTATCATCATGACGAGCGTGTTTGTCTTGTGGGGGATGCGGCGCATTTGACGAATCCGTATGCGGGACTTGGGCTGGCGTCTGGGATGGCGGATGCGTCGTCGCTGTCTGAGGTTCTCGTTCGGGTTCTTACTGGGAAGGCGGCGGATGGTGAGAGGTTGTTGAATGCTTGGTCGGCGGCGAGAAGGGAGAGCTTTTTGAATGTTGTGGATCAGCCTTCGAGGATGGCGTATAAGCGGGTTAAGGCTGATGTCAGCAGTGATGAGAAGATACAGGAGATGATGAGCAAAGATCCGCTCGTGGGTGCGCTGAAGAAGGGTATGCCTGTTCAGCCGCCGAGTTTGGAGACGAAGGGCGAGGAGTTGGAGGGGTGGTGATGGCGAGGATTTTGATCATGCGTCCTTATGGGTTTGTTGTAGATCTTCTCTTGCCAACATGGCCATCAATTCATTATACATTAGACCCCGCAGAAGACGAGTTGCTCAAAGAATCATTCCCCAGCATACCATCCACCCAATCGACTAATCCCCGTAGGCAGCACATCATCTTCAACCACCGACTCCGTAAGCTGCCCCCACAGATCCATCTCACCATCCCAAACCTGCCCTACCACAGCAGGATAATCCTTCGGCGGAACAGGCGGCCTCTCATCCACCTTCATCATCACAGTCGCCCTCTTCATCTTCGCATAAGCCAACCCCGCCACAGCCACCACATCCTGCTCCTCCGTAAAATACTCCAGGTAATCCTGAAGCTGAGGCGTAAGATTACTCTCCGGATACCCCTCGACGCGTCCAGTAGTCGTCCGGTTCCATCCAAACTCGGTAAGATTGGGCAGTGCGCGAACTAATCGCATCCACTCATGATATACCCCCGGCCGTTGGAGTAGAGAGTAGATAACATTAGTATGTTTCCACTCCCTCACCCCCTTCCCCTCTTCCCCCATATGCCGCCCAACATGATCGCACCTCTCCCCCCACTCGTTACTAAAATGAACGCAAACCCCACAGCCCCAGCCCGTCCTTGTCATACGCCGTCGTCTCGCAGACAGCGCATGAACTTTCTTATCACGACCAATTTCGGCGCAGGATGTGCATCGGTGAGCCGTAGCGTGGTGTTTCGTGTAGTCTTTGGCGAGGAAATAGATGTGATCGCAGAGGTCACAGGCGTACATTTCGGGTCGCTCTTGGTAGGTTTCTTCGTGGCGCTTCCAGTCTGCTTTTGAGATGAAGGGGCGGGTGCAGATGGTGCAGAAGTAGGCGTGGGGTTTGGGACAGAGGCGGGATTGTTTGTGTGCGGAGACGCAGGTTTTGAAGTAGTCTTTTGATTGTGGGGTGGGTTTCTTGGGAGACTTGCCCTTGGTGGATCGTTGGCAGGGCTCTTCTGCTGGAGTGGCGGGATGTAGAGGCGGGGAGGTGGGACCGTGACACAGGAGATGTTCAGCCATGGAAAAGTGTTGATTCCGCGACATGTCGGACGTGTTTGAATAGCCTGATATGGACGATGACATTGAGTCTCGGAGAGGGGTCTGCGAGAAGCTGCTGTTCCCCGACGATCGATAGCTGGACATTGCCGACGAGAAGCTCGAAGCGGAGAGGTGTTGCGGTGAAACGAAGGGCTGGCGTACGGTGTTTGCGGTTGGCCATTGTCGAGGAAGATGTTGTAGAGCCTCTTTTTTCGGGTCAGTCAAAGTACTGCTATGGTGCACTGGGAGTGATCTTCACATACCGATAGGGCTTTGTTGGTACTTGTTGGCAATGCTGGGCTGATCCTCCACGTAGCCCCATGCTGAAAACGCAGTGTCGAAGGTTTCGTTACCAAAATCATCAGTCGTATCGTATGTATACAGCGAGCCAGCGCTTGAATGTTCGTAACCGCTCATCATGCAGAAGAGAGAAGGATGTACAAGAAAGAAATGTATTCAAGGCGCGCTGCGCTAGTAGTTGAACAACGTCGTCCTGACCAAAACACCAACATGCCTCCATCGCCGGCTATATACCCCAACCACATTCTCAGCCTCAGCTGCAGCGACCAGAAACGCGGCTAGCGTTGTGGAGGAGGCGTAGTTCACCTGAAACGCGGCGAACGCTGATGGCAGCCGTTTCATGGCCTGTCCGTGTTTCGAAACAACAGGCATCTAGAATGAGGGGTCGCGACGATTGGATCGAAAGTTCTAGTCGTGCAGAGGCGTGCAAATCTGTGTTCCCAAGGCTGTTGACCGGTTGCGATGAAAATATGCGACTGCGAGGGCGAGTGGTTGAAGCGAAAGGCTGAAACGGTGACGGGCGAATAGGCGATGGTTTGCCAAGGAAGCGGGACCAGAAGCTATCCAAAATGTCCGACCGTATTTATAAGTTGCTGCAGCCCGAGATGCTGACGTGCTTGTTCCCGAGGTACTTTGAGCTCCAAGAATACGCTGGTAGTGGCCAGGGTACTTCATCCGGTAAGCCTGGGTGAGTGTGCGAACCCTTTGTGACCTCGACGACCCATCTTCCTATCCACCTCCACCACCTACAAACGTGACAGTCGTCTCCTCGCCCACCTCACAGCCCACCGCCGTCTTGCTCCATGGCCTCGGATACCTCCTCGCCTCGCTGTCGAGTCGCCATCAACACGTTGGGGTTCAACGTGATCCTCAAAGCTGTTTCGTACCGCTGCCTTTGCAGCCCAAAAGTCGTTCATCTCGCTGCCTATGCAGCCTAGTCGTCGTCGTCGTTATCCTCCTCCTCCTCCTCCTCCTCCTCCTCCTCCTCACTGGAGCTTGTTTCAACAGGCGTGTGGCTCACGCTGTGGGAAATATCCCAAAAATGGTTCCATTTCTTCTTGATGTGCTCTTTGAGCACCGCTGCCTTGCACAGGAACTTCTTCCTGCTGTCGTCTAGCCACTTTCTGAAGGCCATTTGGGTTGGATAGTGGGATTGTTGTTGTGTTGTGGGTATGGTGTGTATGGTGGTGGTGGTGGTGATGGTGAGAGTTTGCCAAACGGAGCTGAAATAGCAAGCCATGGCTGTAGCTGGCCAATTTCCAATACAAGGTGACTGTAGATGCCATGTGGGCTTTAGTAAGCTTGGGCCTTTGGAGACTTGCAAACCTATGAGCTGAAATGCCTCAATTGTTGTGCTGGTTTGGTGATTTGGCGCTAGTGCGGCGAACTGGGAGCCCCCCAATGCTCGGACATAGTCAACACCAGATTCACAAATGCACTGCACCCACAACCTTCCCTGTCGATACTCACGTCGTTCTACCGCTACTGGAAGACACATATCCAGCTGATGTGGTCCCCTGGGACCGTTCTACCGCTGTGCTAGACGCCGCAGAAGCTCGTGATGAGCTCCAGGCCTACTTCATACGGGGCTCTCTACGTTGAAGCTGACATTGACAACCTCCTGGCGCTCCCAGGAAACACGGTCTCTTATATTCTCGTTCCATACATGCAACTGCTAGCGCTCCTTGTGGCGGCGGGCCGGGGTCGTGGGCCGCTCCAAGGCCGCTCTCTGCGTCGAGTTTGGCATCGGCGACCTCCTGGCGCTCCCGAGCATCACGGCTTCTGATGTCCTAGTTCCATACATGCAGCTGCTAGCGTTCCTTGCGGAGGCCGACGAGGCTCGGGGACCGCCTCAAGGCCGCTTTCTCCGCCGCCGAAGGCCCAGCTGCAGCCCACAGTAAGACCCCCAGCCAACACGATGAAGACACTCACCTTACCCCCATTGACTACAGACAGACTCGATGTCGCAAGCAGCCTCGCAGTTTGGAATTACCCCGCGGTGGAGAACCAACTGCCCACAATCTTCGAGACCTCCGGCCGTCTCCCCGAACCACGAACCTCGCAGCTCCGATTGAGACCACGAAGCCGGACAGGCAGCGCGACAAGGCCCACATCCATACCTACCATCACACTGTAGAGCCCTCGAGCCTTACTAGATCGCACCGGCGACGGGGTTGAGGGGCTGCCTCGAGGCGCGGAGAGCTCTTCCATCGAGGACAAAGAATCGACACGGACAAAGAGCACCGCGACCGCCCCTACGACGACGGGAGACTTACTGCTACAAGTGGCATCGTATGGATCCGCCTCGGCGATGCATATTACTGCTCCGCTGGTGACTACCTCGTACCTGGCGGCGTTGGTGCTACCAGCCGCACACCTTTACCGATGCATCCGCGAAAGCAACGGCTTCGCGAAGAGCCAAAGCCATACAGGCAAGCTTGCCTCTTGATGTGCACGATGGCAACCTCATTCGAAGGCATCACTCACCTGATGGCAACACTTACTATGAAGACAGACAGCTTCAGCGAACCGTCGCATGTCCTCAAGCACACAGCGCCGCGTCCGACAAGACAAAGCCTCACATGACGAGACTGCTCTGCTATACCTGTGGCCGGGATACTTCACATCTTACGGATTTGCGCGACGACAGAACCGCGACGACGAACAGCCATAGCGACGAACAACTCTTCATACATCCAGACGGACCACGATGCTGCTTCGCACCACAACATGCGGGCATGGACTGCGATACAAGGGGCGCAACATATCGGGCTCGCGACGTGGACGGCTCCTCAGCGACGGAAAGATGAATGCTTGCGCAATGGAAGCACAATAGGCAGTCAAGAGTTGGGTTCATATCTGCTCTTTCATACGGGTGTATATTCTCCAGGTTCCAGGAAGCGACCCAGTGGAGTATCCAGGGTTATGGTACCAATACTGGCCAACTCTTACAACTTTGGTGGTCATCCCGACTCTTCAGTCAACGCATGAGCCGTCTTGTCAGGCCAGATTGTGAACGTCAAGCTTCAACGCCTGAATAGTTCAGGTACAGGCAAGAGCTGCCTCAGTCGCTTCGCCGCAGTCACGACTCGATCGTCCTGGCTGTGTTCGCTCATCATCACGAAGTTCATTGAGGTCCAAACATTCTGCAACTTCATGCCGACTAGCGCAGCTTGAAGTCTTATTCGACTGTCTCGCGGAAGGCTGGAGTCCTCAAAATCCAAGCTCTTGATAACACCATGATGCACTTTCATCTGGAGGCCGATGTCGTCCTTGGGGTCGAGCACGAGGCTAAAGGCTGGTGTTTGCGACCACATCCAATCATCAGTCTATGGACGTTAGCATCGACAGCGAGAAGATTGAGGACTAAGGAAGTACCTGTAGCTCGTCGTAGCCCTTCTGGATATCGGGAATGTTCAAGTGCTCTTCGCCGACAGTTTGCACGATGCTTGGAGCTCCCAGCTCAGCATACATGGACGCAAACTCCTCTTGCAGACGTTCTTGGAATATCGACACGTCAAGGCCGATGTTGGACACAGGCGAGCTGACACTCTCGACACCCTGGGCTTGTATGACGCTCTTCGCGGGAGATCGCAAGTAGTGGGGTATGAT